TTGCTGAAGTAGAGGAACGTCTTAGCTACTGTAAAGCAACGCCATACAATAAACTAACGCAAAACAGACAAAAGCAAAAGCACAACACATAGGTATTATATTTCGTACACATATACAGCCAAAGCTGTCTAAGGCGACCACTCAAGGGACCGAGAAAAAGTCACCGCCTTGGCCAGGTGGTCGCCATAGAGAGGTTCATGCACAGGGACAATAATCATAGGAGAAAATGTGGAGGATGCTTTTGGCAGGTTGCCATAGTCAGATGATCGCCATAGTAAGCTGGACTGTATAATGGATTGGCGGATTCCTTGTCCAGATTTGCCTGTCACTGCGGAGGACAGCCACGGGACGCCGGCAGCTACAGACGGACCATGGATGACTTGCATTGCACCGCCCAAAGCTCGATCCACACACCCCATATCCAGTGTAAACCCGAAGGAATATGACCGGTGCATGTAGATGGAAGCCACGTTACCTCAACGGAGACGGCCCACAATCCTTCAAAATGCACAGTAGCAAAATTCCGGTCTATCTAACTTGGGAATCATGCGTACCACTTACACAAGGCGATGGCTGGGCCGTAGCGCGTTCCACACCAGATTCACGGAATCACTCATTGAGTCTAGCACCGTTAGGAGACAGTGCACTCCGTCCTCCAAGCAACGATTTACAGTCTCCTAGAGCCAGTAATTGTGGTGGAGAATGTTGGACAGGTGGGCACCTTGTCAACAATCAGATCAAGCGTAGCCGGGCATTGCATATCACCCGGGACGATTAATGTGTCAGGCGCAAGTCCGACAGTCAGTCAATCGAGTTTCGTCTGCTTCAGACGACAGAGCACATTATATGCTACATCAGGTTCGATCTTGTCAACTGCACAATGGCAGTTCGAATCCAGCATAACTACGTACACTGGAATACATTTATCCACACTGGTGTATGAACTGATACAAACCGAATGAAGAAACGTTAGACAATAATACTACGAACGTACATGAAATTGGATTGGAGGTAAGACTAACAGCCATATTCGTGAAGTTATGGGAAATCGCACGTACGAGAACAAGTAATCAGTAAGAACTGTCAGTGGTCACTTAAGGTTGAGACGTGAACGGAAATGACGGCCTTAATTTCAGTCAGAAGTATGGGCGCCAAAATTAGATATGAGTATGGGAATAGGGATACAATACCAAGTGGAATTATACAAAAATAAGAGGTACAGTAAAACAGCAATTACTTATCGTTAGTGTGTATTAAAGGTGCCGTCTGCTATATGTGAAGTCGGGCTTGCAGCTGATGGAGGTCATACAGCGTGAGGATGCGACGGAGTGTTAACTGTAATCTATCCGTGGCGAGAATCTGAAAGGTCATCGACCCGCTGATACCAGTGTTGTACTGCTGACTAATGTCCTGTACGACTCCTCAGAGCCACCGTTGGTTGGGAGTTGACTTATACCCTTCTTCTAGCTAAGAGCCAGGACAAAATTCCACGTGATTCGGTTCACCGACTCATGGCGCACGGACCGATGACTTTCGGGTGTACATTTTATCAAATCCTTTGGGTGAGGACCCGAGTCCTTCTCCTGGCAATATCCTAGTCTAACAACAAGTCATGAGTTACGCCAATACAACTAATCTCATGCTGCATCGACCGTCGCACAGTGGGCTTGGGAAAAGGGTCACCTTATAGGTTGCATACAGCAGGGTAGAGAAGCGAAAAGATTCTACCGCTGACGCCTCCCTTCTTCCTTCCCCCTGCACATTCCCGTTTTCATTTCAACTAGTTCCCTACTTCCTCCAATCCAGGTCAGCACACAACTGATTGTCCACCACCGCGATCGCATACGTTGGCCCAAAGTGCACAACATTGGCTGCTGGAACGTGCGCACAATACTCGACAGGAACACGAGCGAACACCCAGAGCGATGCACGGCAATGGCAACGGTGAAACTCGCGCGCTATGGCACCGACATTACCGTATTCATTGCGACTAGGCTCGCTAACCAAGGCAATCTGCATGAAGCTGGTGCTGGTTACACGCTCTGCTGGGTGGGAAACGCCACCATAGCACCACAAGAACTTGGGTCGGATTTGCACTATCCGACTAGGTGGCCAGCTGGTGGCGGAGCCAACTGGCATCACCTCACGAATGCTAAATCTTCAACTGCATCTCGGATGCTGTAAGTTTGCCACTTTGGTTAGCACGTATGGTTCTACTGTGTTTTCTTGATGACACAAAACAACAGTTTTACTATCAGTTATAATCCGTGATATGATGTGTGGCGAGCAGCGATCGGCTATCCCTACTGGGTGATTTCAACGCGCACGTTGGGCACGATGCCGCAGTAAGGACAGATGTCATCGGTTCACATGGTATTGACTCAGCCAATGGGACCGGCTCTCGCAGTGCGTCACTCACGGCCCGACGATCAAGAACATCCGGTTTGTACTGGGTACGAAAGCTATTTGGACGCATCCACAGGGTGGTCACACTCACCTGCTCGACTATGTCATGGTACACCAGCGTGACATGCGCGAGAAGCGCGTTAACGTGTACTGCGTGGAGCTGAATGTGACACTGCCCACAAATTGGTGCTGACCAAGTTGTACATACCTTTTCGTAAACTTAGGCATTGCTCACCTGCCGTGAACCGGCACAAATTCCATGTCTTTTCCCTAGAAAAAATTGTGAAGAGAATGGAACTGGAGAAGGCGATGGTTACCCGCATTGGCGATGTCGAAACCATAACCTCAGAGCAAGCTGTGGCATCACATCCGTGACGACTGCTGCCGGATAGACCATCAGCGGCCCGACTGGTTTGATGACAACAGAGACAACTGGCGCACTGGTGTCTGAGAAGAATGCAGTAATCGCTGCACATGGGTAGGACTCTGCCGACTCTTAAAGAAAGAGCCAGTTTAACAAACTTCATCAGCGACTGACTTGAGAGCTCCGTCGCATCAGGAATGCATGGTGGACGGAAAAGATGGAGCAGATGGAATGATATGCCGAATGCCGCCGACATTAGGTATTTTTTAAATAACTGAAGGATGTGTATAAAAACCGTTGAAGCAACTGAGGACGCCACTAGATGCTACTTCAGGTGCTGCCTGCACACAGTCTGCAGATCTGACGAAAGCCCTTCGACTATCTCTTGCACAACCGTTCAGAGATTGACTGGCCTACGTTGCAAGGGCTGCAACAGCAAGAAATGAAGATGTTCTTGCCGACACACCGACACTGGATAAGACGCAGAGAGCACTTGCTCAGCTGCAAAACGGCAACTGCGCCCGCGCCGATTGGATACCGCCTAACGTGGTGAAACACGACGGAACCGCGTTGGTAAACGCGCTGCGATACTTGGTGAACGCGTGTGGTTTAAATAAGAGGTGCCGACTGACTTGAATGATGCTCTTGTGCTACCACAGTATAAGGCCAAGGGCGCAGGCCATGCGCCACGAATTATCGCGATATCAACTTGCTGAATTGTGTTCATAAAGTGTTAGCAAGAATATTGCTGAACCACCTCGTCATTCAGCTCGTTGAACGGCACGTAGCGGAAGAGCAATTTGGGTTCCGATCGCATCGCAGCACCATAGATATCGTGCTCGCGGCTCGCCAGTTGCAAGAAAAGTGTCGAGAGCGACACAAACTACAGTACTTGTTGTTTGTTGACTTCACCAAGGCATCTGATATGGTGAACCACGAGGTACTGTGGCTGGTGTTGGGTAAGTCTGGTTCCTATAGTAAGTTTGTAAGCTTAATTGAATGTCTGCACAGTGGTACGTGTATGAAGACGTAGTTAAGTGGACAAACCTCGGATGACTTTGCTGTCGACTCTGGTGTGAAGCAAGGCTGTCTTAGCCTCTACCCTGTTTGATATTAACCTTCATGCAATGATGTCTTGTGTTTTCTATGCTGTTTGTGGTTATGGTGTCTGGGTGGAGCACCGTATTGATGGTGGGTTGCTAAATATTCGTTCTTTCGAGGTGAGAACTCTAGGGTGTAAAACGACCACCCGCATGCTGTTGTTAGCACACAGCACGGATGAGTCGCAGCACATGACTTCAGCTTTTGATTCGACAGTAGTCAAATTCTGGTTCACCATCAACATAAGCAAGACTGTTAGTCTTCTCCAGCCTTCACCAGGAACGAAGTCCGTAAACGTGCCTCAGATTTAAGTTGCTGATGACCTGTCGGAGACAGAAACGAAATTTTTGGTTATCTTGCGAACGTACAGTGTAACGACTTGCAGATGACGAGCGAGTTGTGTTTCCGCATATCGAAAGTCACTGCCGCATTTGGAAAGTTGGAAGAACGTATGTGGAACAATCACTACCTTACTGCTGGGACGAAGCTGATGACATACAAATCTATGGCGCCGTCCGTTCTATACGGCAGCAAAACTTAGAGCGCTTCCATTAATAGTGCCTGCGTCGTATTCTGCGCATCAGTTTGGGTAACCCTTGCTGACACGGAAGTGCTGCGCCGCAGTGGCGTGTATGCATTGGACTGCATACTTCTGTTGCGGCATCTGAGGTGAATTGGGCATATCAGCCGCATGGATTCGACGCGGACACCCAAGCAGCTGCTATATGGACAACTTAGTACAGGGAAGTGGAACGTGGGAAAACCGAAGTTACTTTACCTGGCATGATCAAGGTTGGTAGGTGGGAAGCGATGACAGTAGATCGGCGCCGATAACAAGAGTATATAAGGAGGGTGGTTGCCTAGGGATAGCAGACAGCACCATGGTATAAGGGAAGAGAAACGTCTATTGAGGGCGCGACAGGTGCCAATGGTGGATAACCCATCGACCTCGAGCGCTGGTAGATCTGTAAAACATCCGCACCGTTGAAGACTGAGGGCTTTTGTTTCATGCAGTGTGAGCAGTCCAACAAGTTCTCCGCTTTCGGAAAACAGAGAATGTATGTATCAAGTAGTATACGCCAAACGTAGGTATAACACACACCAAACAAACACCAAACATAGAATGTACCTTATTCAATTCATCCTGGAGCTGACGAATTTTAGTCTGCAGAACATGTTGCCGGGTACACAAAGTGTCCAGTTGGCGTGAAATGTCCAGTGCTTCCTGCATGCTTTGCAACTCAACTGTCGAGCGAGGTTGAACCGCCGGAACAGGGGATGCGACGGAAGAGTTCATGGAAGGTGACCCCAGCAGTGAGTTAGAAGACCGAATCCCATCAAAAGAATAGGTTGTTAACGAGGTATCAGTTGCACACACCGAGTGCTTACGCATCCGTCCATCCCACTTAATGTGATTGTGTCGCCCTCTTGTCCCACCGGGAGTGCGTTGCGGCCGTGAGATGCGACCCTTCGAAGAAGCGGGTGCTTTCGCATTCCCAACGACCACAGGGATAACGCTCCCTGAACCTGGATTGACAGCTTCAAGCTGAAAGAGAAAAAGAAGCAGATTATGAGAATAACGTCACCTTCAAAAACCAGAGCACAACGCGTGTGAAAAATGCGTATATTAACCGGAGAACGTGTTTGTAGATAATAGATTGGCAGTGGGAAGGAAGTTAGGTTTGATTGGATAAATCAACGTATGCTACCCATAACAGGAGGCGTCAATCAGATAAACTTAGGCGCTGTTACCTTAATACCAGATGCTGAAACTGGGTAATGGATTCGACCTGATCTTGTAGCAATCAGGTAAGCTCATGACAAAGTTCGCGACGAAAAACCATGCATCAGGCACGTACAACATATTCATATTCCGCCTCTAAATCATAAATAAGCGTAACCGAAGAGATCACCAGAGGTGTAATGAGTTCATGAGCATAGTCACAAACGGATTTTGCCTATCGGAGAAACGATGCATCGGAAAAACTACCGCAAGCAATGGTGCTTCAGTTCGCACCTGACTATCACTGTAACCATTAGCGTATGAGCTCAGAAACCGGATGGCCTCACATACATCATAATAATGGCAGCTCCTGTGCTATGGATACTTTCACAGTAGGTCAGCAGATGTAGTATGGAACCGTGGCATTCGTGAATTAGTGATAGTTGGGGAGAAAACCCCACATCGTGTACGCTGGGTCGTAACCGTACTTTAAATCGAATGACATATTACATTGATTTCGACCACTAAAACAAGTGTAGCGCAAGACTACAAAAAATTCCAATCGGGAAACGGAGCCAAGTAGATGGAGGGTCCATCCTGCTGTGTATATGAGCAGATTGGGCGAGATTCGCATCCGATTGCGCGCCTCGTCAGTCTTTTAGAGATGGTTCGTGGAGAGCGGCACCTAATGCCAGAGTAGCAACCTGTCACAGACAAAAGGGAGTCTGAGGAAGATTCCCAAGATAGCAGAGTCAGATACATAACGCAGAACAGCGGTTAGATACCTTGTTTTGATTTACATGGTAGCGAAATCAGTGACGCTATTACATGCGGCTTTCCTGATCAAGCTTCTGCTCCTCTTTCTCATCAGCAATACACCGGTAAGCAGTACTGACGCTTCGCTGTCGCGCAACCACGAACACCAGTCGCACGTGAGCTAAGGATACTGCGTAGGTCGCCCGGTGTCTATGCACGCTCGAAGCTGCGCCCTCTGGAACACTAGGCGGAGTTGTAATCCTTAAAGATACGGACCGGTAGAAACTCATCAGTAGACAATGTAACCAATTTTAAGTTGTTGACCTCCGTATCGCACTACACTTTTGTTTACACGATTGATTGCGATTTCAATGCTACGTTCACAACCACTTCCGTGCCAATAGGGATGGATAATGATGGCTGGGTTCACAATTGAACATAGGCGCCCGGATCGCTGTGGGCTGACCGAATCGCATTGGGCAAGACGCAGTAATCATCTACTAACACGTGTGAATGAAAAGAAAGGGAAGGAGGATTAAAATGAACTGGTTGTTGACGCTCTTGACGTTAAGAGAGAAAGATAGCCAAAATAAAAACCTATAAAAACCGATTTGTTCTCTAAACAATCCGAAATCATGAACTCCCAATCGACTCCAAGCATATTCCGAAGCAACGAGTAACCTGAATCGGTAAGCAACCATGCAGCCTATTGCAGAACTCAGCCATTCAGGGACAAGCGTTTATTCAGCAAAGACAACCAGGCGAAAATTACAGCATGTTTGTCAAGTCAAACTCCTCGATATAAGTTGCACATTTAAGTCCATAACTAACGACCTTTCTGAGACGATGACGTTCCTCCTTTGGTTCAGTTAAACAAACGGTGAATCACTCACACGAATATCGGCCAATCTGAGTCCAGTAATCGAATCCATTATGTCCGCCTCCCATTGGCTGTCTGGCTCGCTCGGTCGGTCGGTCGGTTGGTTCGTCCGCTCGCTAGGATCTGACATTCATCACATCCGCCTTTTTTCGTGTTCTTGCGCATCCATATTGCTATCCACCCCGTACACGTTGCCACTCCGCGTCCTCTTCGCTGTATCTGCGGCCGTGGTCTCCTTGCCCCACGCCATCCGGCACTCCACTCCTAATCCACATCGTTGTCTCTGCTGTCGTCTCATATGCACTGGATTAGTTCTGGACGTTTTCCCTCCCAAGTTTATTTCGTATAACTTGGCACCTTTCTTCCACCGCTCTCGACTTAAGGGTAATGGTTGAACCAACACTGTTAGCTTAGGTAGCGCCCGTGCACCGCGGTCGTAGTACCAGTTCTGAGTGGTCATTCGTTGTCTCAGATTGTTCTGTACTCCCTCATGCTGTGGCGAAACTGGGCGCAAAAGTGTGGACGATGCCGGCATCAGAGTTCAGTCCTTCGACTGTATAGGCGATAGTCGTTAGAGGAGTGTTGTGATTCTCCAGTAGTATGAGGTACAGGTCTTCGTCAGTTGCTCTAGCTTCTGACAACAGTCGGTTGATCTGCTCCACTGCCGACTTGGCCATTCCATTCGACTGACTGTGATATGGGCTGGTTTGCTGGTGCACGAATTCCTACTTGGTTGCGAGGGCCTGGAACGCAGCGCTTGTAAACTAGGGCCCATTGTCGGAAACCAGCTCCGCCGTTATACTGTGCCGCGCGAACTGACATCTGACCTTGTTGATCACTGCCTCTATGGTCGTAGTGGCGGATAAATCGAATTCAAAATAATCACGATAGTGATCCACCACTATAGTAATCTCGTTATCACTGAATAAACCCACCGCCACATTCCGCCACGGTCGGTCAGGGACATAATGCAGCAACACTGGTTCCCTTGTCTGCCGGATTTCGTGTGCACGGTACGCCTCACAAATCGACACATGGTCTTTCATTTGATCCGTCATTCCTGGCCAAAAGATAAATTCTCTTGCTCGGTTAACGGTATAGTTGGCAGGCAGGTGAGCGCGATGAACGTATTTCAGCATTTATCCTCAGAGCGATGATGGGACCAGAATACGGCTTCTCTTGAACAGCAAACCATCGTTCATCCCGAAAATTGAAGTAGGGTGTCAGTTCCTACGGCAGCTGCATTTTTGTCTCTGGCCACCTATTTAGAATAAAATCTCGCAAAGCTGAAAGCGTTCCATCCTCGTCTGTTTGGCGCTTTATTTCATTCAGACGATCTTCTGTTACTGCCCGATGTACCAGGTTTACTGCTTCGACCTCTTCCGGATTATGCTCGGGTACTGGCAGATGAGTTCATGACAGCGTATCCGTGATGAACACCTGTGCCCCAGCCGAGTACATTATCCACGTCGTATTTTCGAAGCCGGATAAGCATACGCTGAAGGAACAACGTGCAGCGGTTTTCAGGCTACTGACACAAGCGTTTGGTGGTCGGTATATACAGTCGTCTTTCTGCCGAAAGTATAAGTGTTGAAACGGTCCATGACATAGACTACCGCAAGCACCTCTTTCTCAATCTGCGCACAGCGCTGCTCGGTCGCGGTGAGTGCTCGACTGCGGAAATCCAAAGCTTTTCCTTCTTGGCTACTGTCACACTGTACCTCCAAAGGCTGCGCTGGATCGTAATACCCGAGTACAGGCGTGTTGCAGGTGATGGGCTTAATAGTTTCGAATGCGGTTTCCTGTTCTTTTCCCGAACTTCACCTTACTCCTTTGTGAGTTAATTTACTAATCGGCGTCATGATATCAGCGAGTCTTGGCATAAAAGCGTTCAATTCACCATACCGTTTAGGCGAGGAATTCCATTCACGTCGCTAAAGGGCGGTATCCCTCGAATGGCCCTTATTTTTCCTGGATCGACCCTGAATCCTCGGGTTAGTAAATACCCATGGAAAATCACCTTGTCTTTCCGAAGTTCAATTTTTTCACGTTTAAGCTTGATGTACTTTTGCACACAACGCCGCAAGAAACGATGGAGATTAGCGTCATGCTCTTCTTCTGTCGAGCGATAGATCAAAACATCGTCTGCCACGCATGTTACACCATCTAGATCGTCTACCGCTTGCACCAACCGCTTTTGAAAAATTTCAATTGACACCTTCAAACCAAACGGTAAACGCAGCCGACGATAACGACCGAACGGGGTGGTAGTAAGGAAACTGGTTTCATCATTCAGAACCATATACCAGAATGCCGAAGAGAGGTCTACCTTAGTGAAACACAGCTTTGGCCAGAAGTGGCAAAATATCTTCTAGGGTAGGCAGCACATAATGCTTTCTAAGCAAGGCCTCATTCAATGGTTTCGGGTCAATACACACGCGTGGTTCAAGGGTTCGCCTGCTTCTTGGTGTATTCAGGAGAAAATACATCGCGCGGTAAACACGTTCATTTGGTAACTCCATGCACGATCGAGAGCATCGAAGGCGTCTATAACCGATTTGCATCCATGGAGACCCAAATAATCGAATTGCCGCTGTCCCTCATCTCCGAGTAAATGTCGAAGTAGCTTCAATCTTTTATCCGCACTAAGAGCAGTAGGGAGATCGCTGATTAAATCCAAGTAGTTTTGGAAGGATGTTTTCCAACGGAACCAGGCATCCGATGTCGGTTTGTTGCCGCAATCAGTCCAAAAAGGAGATGGGGGTTGGATGGAAAGATTCATTTTTGCCTCCGCGACGCCACAGATGCTGTACCAAGAAAGCCGCAAAACAGGTAAAAATGTATCTCGTAATATAAGCAAGTACAACTGAGTCTCAATCCCTTGTTAAACGGAGAGTCAAACGACAGACACACGACCAATGATAAAGTAGGAATGAGTCAGCAAGCCAACCAATGAGATTGAGCCAATCAATCTTGTTCACATGGTAACCACACAGGTGTAGAAGGAAGAAGCCGTTCCAGCTAACTGGAATGAATCGATAATAGTGGTAGTACAATGAGGTAAGTTACACCGACTGCGCTAATCGCCAGTGGCGACAAAACTACTGGCCTGAATTTCCGTTCGTCACCTAACCGTGGAACAGAGTCCCGGGTTAGGAAGAGCAAATAGTTTTTTGCATAGGTCGGG